ACTCTTCTCCAAGACCACAATTCAAAGACACCCATTCTTCTCTAGTCTTCCTTATTTATTGTTCAAACATTCAGATGCATAGGAAGCAGCTGAAAATACCATAGCTTGGAAAAGGTACAGTTTAGTCTTTACTGGCAGTGATACTTCGAAAATCATAGAAAGGACAGTAAAATGGGAGGCTCACGCACAAAAAAAAATCTGAGTAAGAATTTATTTCTTATATTTAAATGTTAGATCTGATATATGAGAATATTTATGACAACATTTAGAGTTCTATCAACATGAAAAATTATAGCTGTGGTTAATTTGTACATGCAATTCACTGGAAAGGTATAAATACATGAAATAACTCTAGTCATGTAAAGGTAGTTAGGTTAGGTGGGGTAAAACAGCAAGTGCATTTGAAAGTACTGCATTTACTAGTACATAGCTGAGACCAAACAAGGAAGTATCTAATGCTAATCACTACACAGTAATCTTGGTGAGCTGCACATTTAGAGTATATTATTTAATATTCAAATACATTAAAACTAAAGAATTCTCAAATACCTACTTTTAAAGATATTCCTTTGTTTATAACCCAGCACTTTTGGTATTCATGTAACAGTATTTGAAACATGTATCAGACAAAACCTTAGTTTAAGGAGTAAAAGATCTGGCAAATCTACCAACATCAGTCTTGAACACTTTTTACATCTACCAACTTTAGTGAAGAACCAGGAAATAAGCTTGTCAACCAGTGTGAGGGAATCAATGACTGTAAAAAAGTCCATGAAATATTAGGAACAGGTAACAACAGAAGAGCTCATCCTGAGCTTCTCCCCCTCTTTAAAATGCAATATACTGTACACCATGTTAATGCACATCTGGTAGCATAAATTATTAAAAGAAAACGCAACTCAAAGTTTTGAGATTAACTCGAAAGAAAATACATTTAGTTCTGGAAAAATACTTAAGCATTTTAAAACGACATCTGAAAAGAATAACAGAGATTAAGAACATTTTCAAGAAAATCCTGGTGAGTTACTACTGATCAATTTACTGTTTTAAAGACTGAAAAGGAACTGCTTGTTACAAATTATCAGTTCAGAGAACACCTAGGGTATAGGTTTGCTAGTTTATACGTTTTCTGAAACCTGTAATAATGCCGTTTTACTCTAAATCTTCATATATTGCTTTTTATGGATCCATTATTTCTCCCAATTTACATAAATGTACACATATTAAAAATGGTTATTTAGTGAATGCAATCTAACACTTCATACATAGAAAGATATATTTTAACAATTCACTTGGAAGTTTACGTAGCAAATTCCTATGACATTTTACTAAATAAACTTTTACCAAAATAGAAGTGTTTTCAACTAGGAAGGAATTTTTTTTTAGATTAAAATATATTATTGCAATTTAACCTCAGTATGGTTTCGGAATTTGCTCATAAAAAGAACCATAGCTGAGTAAAATAATGCAAGAATAATATGAAATCTAACAGAATGGTAGGAATGTTTTCAAGCTTGATTCAGACAATATATACCTGTGATCAGAAATATATTAGGGACTATTAAATAATTCACTTTTGCCATAATTTTTACAAAGTATATGGGTAGGAAAAAGAAAATATCTCTTACAATCATATTTACTGACCTTACAAGATAAAACAGGGAACCAACATTTGTCCAGAGACAAAGCTCAGAAGGAAGAGGTATGATAAAAGGATTAATGGAAACAAGAATCACAGGGATATAGTGGGAACAGCAAGGTAACATTGTAGGTATTGTGTTAATGACATAAGACAAAATTAGTATGAATGGTTGAATGTAAAACCAATTTGCTTTGGAAGCTTTCCCTCAAATCACAAAAGAAAATTATCACTGGATTCTTAGTTCTAAAGGTATTTGAAATGTCTACTTATAATTGGCATACTTACTAAGTAAACAATTAAAAAAATAACACTTCAGTGTTATTAATCATTAACTTCAGAAGAAAAGCTAGGGTCACTAGATGAAAGTCATGTGGGAAAATTTTTTATCAAGAAAGAAGCAAGAGAACACAAATGAGCAAAGAACATACATATGGTTTGTATGATTCATGGTTTGCTTTTACAGATTAAACATTTAGATCTGAATGTGCAAAAGGCTGCAGTTTTCTAGTTCTCAGTATTGTGTCTTTTTGAGGGAGGGGGATGTTATATCAGAGACATCAATAACTACATGTCAAGTACCCAGCTCTAATTCTATAAGAGAAAAAGAGCATCAGACAGAGTGATTTAGTTTGAACTGTAAAGAGGCTGCTTTTTGATGTCTTAGCATCCCTTTAAATAAATACAAACTTTGGGGATGGTAAAAATTTAAAGAATAAACAACCTATTAATTTATATGCAGGGTAGTTTTCATATAAATAATAAACCAGATTTGCTCCTCTGCCTACTCAAATCCCATTTACATGCGTTAAAACATGGACTGGAACACTGGTGCCATACTAGTCCTTAAAGAGTTGCAGTACTAACCACAAAGGCCACCCCTTCTCAGTGGTTCACATCCACCAGCAGCTCTGCAGAAAAAGATGTACAGTTTCCTCCCATGTGATTTACAGCCTCTGACAGATTGAGCTATGAGTCAGTTTCCACTTGTCAGCAATGAATGAAAGTTTAAAACATGGATAATTCTAAGATCTCCAGTATGGAAATGATTTGGCATTTAAAACATTACAGGACTGTTGTTATTTTTTTCCCCTATAATGTAAAGATGTATCATACATCTGAGTGTTCAAATATATACTCATTTCTTGGGCATACTCTTTCCATAGTAACCACATATCCATGTAATAAATAGGTCTCAAGTGCCCTGTGATAAGGGGGCACGTATTACACTACACCTGTTCTGATAAAGAGGTTGCTCACAAGAGGGTCTTTCCTTTTCTTTCTCTTGGGTTACAAGTTCTCAAATAACTGGCCCTTTTCTCAAATGTACACAATTACATGACTATGTGCTTCATAATACTGTTGTATTTTTTTAGGAAATATAGCTAAAAACATCATTACAATAACATGACTATGTATTCTGAAGAATAAAAATTTTAATGGGTAAAAATTTCCTGACAGACATAGGAGAGACAAATCTAGTTCTTGCTGGGCTGGCCTTAGCTATCTTGTCTTGTAGTGAGAGTTAGTTTCTGTCCTGAGTGGACCTCACTGGGCCTAACTGTTCTCATTTACTTCTGGGGTTCTTCCAATCTCCCATCAGTTTTGAGTAAAGTAGGAAATAGAATATACCAACATAAAAACCTCTGCCTGTCTCACAAATGAGTATAGGTGGAAAAACTCTAAAAGCATTAATAAACATAAGAACACAATGAAAAAGAACAGGAAGTCTAAACTGAACAATATCCTGTGAGAGAAAAATTATACTTCAACTATAGATGCATGTCAAACAGTCTTAGTTTTTTATTCTTCAATATCTTTTACAAACTTTGTTAGCCCGACTTCTAAAATTGAAATATGATAGAAAAACACAATCTATATCTTCCAAACTCATTTGCTAGCAGCAGCCTATAAGTGAACTGGTGACGAATGACCTTTTTTTTCTCTATTCATTCAGCCCTATCCTGAGCTCCTGCCATGTCAAATGTGATGGAAAGAGAATGGCATTGAGTATAAGTGGATTTAGTGATAAACTTCAAAGGGCTGGCTCACTTCTCCTCTGAAGAACGGACACAGTGGAAAGAGACTTAAAATACTCCTAAATCATCATGTGGAACTAAGGCTCATGCTACCTAAGAACTGTAGATATTAAAATATTAGCTCTTCTAGCAGAGAAAGGAGGAGGAAAAATGTGCAGGAATGAATAAAAATCAATCTCTTTTGTGGACTTTCACTAAAATGCGTGATATCAATAATAATAAAAAAGCAGCTATTTCTAAAACACACACACACAAAAATACAACAACAAAGTAACTATCTCTTTATTAAGTGCCTCTCCAAGAAGGATATTTGCTAACTGTGAGATTTATGGGTTTCTGTTTATTTAGGGAGCAAAGTACAAGTCCTCTAACCTAGTTTGCTTCACTCATTAATCAGAGAAAAGAAGGTATTTTTCTCTTGTCTTACCTAAAAATAAAAACAAATATATTACATTTAAACCCATTTCAAGCTGAAGATATAGGCGATAAAGTGCTTTGTCAACCAAATTCTCTGAAGTCTGGTAGGAAAGGTCAATTATTTATACATACATATGTATAGATATCTGTTGAGATTTAATCCTTGAGACAGAGCAAACAGTTTTTAAAATGCATATGACAGTTCATGGCATTCAGTCGCACTTCTCTCCACCTAGGCCACTGTTGAGTTTGTGAAAATGGGGTCTCAAGTGACATGGTCAATAACACAAAGCAAATTAAAAAAAAAAAAACACTTTAAGGTTGCAGATTATTTTTCTAAAAAAGAGTATTTTTACTCTGCCAAGTTAAAGCTCTAGGTTTTTTTTCCCCTCAGTCTACAAAAGCTAGGTTGATTTATTTATGCCATACAGACCTCTTTTCAAATTATGCTGACAGCTGAAATAGAGGGTTCTAACTTTTTAATTTTAAAAATGAATTCTTCCTAAGTTATGTTAGTGATTACATTCATCAAAATATGTATGGCTATGATCATGAAGAATTTTGCAGCTTATGACTTGAATACCTTCTGTTTATTATGTAGCAAAACAAATGATGTTTTGCTTTATAAATGCCAGATAAGTTTTCCATTTCTTCAGTGCAAATATCCTGAAACAGCACAAAGTCATTCAGCTATTCAGGGATTGAAATCAGTTTATGTAGTGCTTAAAGGAGTTCTAGATACTCTGAAATAAAAACAGTCCATGTGAGAGTACAGTATATTTTTGTCCTTAAGGGCAAATTATCATCTTCAGTTAGTGAAGATTATTTTTATCTGAAATGACAGATAAAACTATAGTTAGCTTTGTCTTACAGGTACTGCTGAATTTGGAAGAGGAGCTGGTCCTTCACTGAGGCACGTAACCACCTTGTCTTACAGTCTGTGGTAAGTAACTTTTAGGCATTCCTTCATCCATCCCAACTGATTCAATCCTCTCGACTTCTCTCTCAATACCTGGACCAAAAACATCTGCCGTAGAAACCTCTTGAAACATTTTCAACTGCCCAGATCCACCAGACTGTGGAGTAAGCTCTGCAATCTGCTGCTGTGTAAGCCTGGCAAAATCTTCCTCATTGACTGATGAAACTTGCTTCGACCTTTCAAAATGTGAGCTATCTTGACTGGTTTCTTGTTGACTGCAGTTTTGCTTAAAATATTGTTGCCTGGACAATATACTTTCCCCACCATCTACATTATCTACTAACTGGAGGTCTTCCGGCCGCTCTTCCGAATCTAACAAGGGCTGGGTGGACTCGGACCTCGAGAAGACTTGAACTGATGGAACCTGGTGTCTGTAGCCACTATGCACCACAGTAGAATACTGGACAGTGCTTGAAGTGTTTTGCCCAGATTCATTTTCATCACTGCTAGAGATGCTAGGCCTGGAAGATGACATGCAAGAAGATCCTCCGATACCACTGCTGTGTCCCTCGGTACTAATTTTTTCCTTCTTAAATAGGTCCAATGACTTCAGATCTTCTGGAAAAGGCTTTTTGACATTTGCTTCTATTTCCACAACACTTACATCAGTGAAATTGCCATCTGGATACATGTGATCTTTTGGATTAAAATTGTGCTAAAAAGATAAAAGATGGATTATTATTATTATTATTATTATGTGTTTGTGCCATTTTAGAAACACTTAAAAACACACAGAGAGCAAATATTAAAGCCAATCCATCACTTAACCGTTTTGGTAACTTTCAATGGTATAGCGATAATAGTTATTACGTTACTAAATAAATCATTGTTGTTTACCTGAACTACTGACATTGTGAAATCAATCGAGTAGGTATGAATTGGGCTGTTTCTAAAACTTAAGAAACATTTTCATAAACTAAAGTAAGTCTACAAACAAATAACAAACATGATTTGATAATCCAGTATTAACTACAAAGTGGGGGAAAGACACACTAAAACAATAAAAATTGAATGAATAAAATTTTGTAGAATATAAAAGTACATTTTAATTTGGTCATGCAATTCAAAGATGACTATTATCATTCCTTTATCTAATATCAGTATCAAAATGATAGACTATTAACATTAAATTTGATTTTAAAATTCAATCCAACATGTGTCCTTACCACTACAAAATAGTTTTAGTGTTTAACAGTTAGCAATTTTTACGTTCAACCAAATATTTTTAATGTTCATGGAACTGAATTGGAAATATCAGATGTGTTTTGACAAAAGACTCCTGAAATATGCAGGTATTCATTTACATTTTTATTGAAATTATTTTACTTTTCAATTCAGACTGACAACCTTTTGGTTAAACTTCACACATGCATTCTAATATGTATGGATATTATTAATAAATCAAAAGCATCTTATCTTACCCTGGGGGGGGTGTGAGGTGACCACTGGGCAATATGACTCTTTGAAGGATCTGGAACATTAGGCCAGATATGCTTTTTAATCCTGGAGAGAAAAGGATATGGCATTTGTGGAACCACATGTAATAAATAATGCAGCCTGTTTCTAAATACATTCACCTAAATTCACCTAAGAAGGTTAAGAATCAAACCAATTAGTCAAATAAATAAAAAATATGCATTCCACACAAAAGCCAAACAAAAAAATTATTTTTTCTGATACCTAGTAGTTACAAATGCATACGAATCTTAGTTCACCCAGTACCCCCCAAAAAGTGTTAGTAAGTCTAGAGTTGTTGTTGTTATGTGCCGTCGAGTCGTTTGCAACTCACAGTGACCCTATGTAAAACAGCCCTAAACCCTGCTCTATCCTGTGCCAATCGCACTGTCTCTGACACAATCATCCCGATTACCCCAGTCACTGAATCAATCCACCTCATAGAGGGTCTTCCCCTCCTGCGCTGTCCCTCCACCCTACCCAGCATGATGTCCCTTTCCAAGGACCTGTCTCCCCAATAGTATTCAATTAAAAAATATTTAAGTCAAATCTTGTAAGAACATCCCCAAGAATCTGAGTCAGACAACAAAATGTTGGTTATGTCCTTATCCAATGAAAACCAGTTAAAAAAAGTTCAATTTACAGAAAAAGAACCTAGATAGAAAATTAAACAGTTTTTACATTTATATAAAAAAATACAATGATTTTTTTTAATGTAAAAAAGGCAAACCTATGTCAATCATCCAGGACATCCATACCACCAAAATTTATTTAAGATTGCACTGGTCTAAACACTGAGACTGAAGGCTGAGATGCCTGGGAGTACCTTTCAAAAACTGTCCTAACTTGGTATATAACCATTTGAATTTCCCAACATGGCTCTGTGTGGTCTGTGAGCCACCACATTGGATTTTTTGGGCCCAGTAAAGAAGAGGGCCATGGGACCTCACAGGAATTAGTTTTGTGTTGTTCATGTTGTTAACAGGGACAGTTCCCCTTTGTGAAGTTTGTAAAGGTTAGATATGGCCGTCCCACATGGTCCTTGCTCTTTTTTACAGGTAGGTTTCTATTAGGCTGACTTTCCTCAGACAATAACTATAAAATCAACACATAATATAAAAACCACTCAAGTTGACAACCTAGATAAAAAGAATTAATTCCTTGAAAGGATTATAAATTACCATGACAGACTATAAAAGAAAAAGAAAACATCTATCACTTCATATTTATAAAGAAATTATGTTTTCATCAAATAGTGTGAAAACACAATGCACTTGAACCTTGTAAGAAAACAAATATAAAAAACCAACAACAAAACCTTCCTAACCAAGAAAACTCCAAGTTGAGGTAGACTTGTGAATTTATCAAATATTTAAAAAAAAAATTTAAAGAAGAAATAATAGTAGTATTTCACAAACTATTCTAGAAAATAGGGGTGACAACATGTTCCAATTAATTTTGTTGTTGTTGTGTACTGCTGAGTTGGAACTGACCCACAGCTGACCTTTTAGCAGGTTTTCTGAGGCAGTAGATTCCACAGGAGGAGACTGCTCATCTTTTCTACAGAGCAGCTCGTGGGTTAGAACCATGTTATCTTTATGTTAACTGCTAAATTCTTTACCTCTCAGCCACCTCAATTAATTAGAAGAAGATATGACTCAAGAAAGGCAGATTAGGATTACTCAAGAACAGACACAAAAATCATGAACAAAATGTGAATAAAATTAATCCAGCAATATCTCAGGAAGGCAAATGTAGTCGAACATTTCAAGTCAAGGAAATCTATCATTTTCATGGAATAAATGCGGACAACAACTCATATGAACATCTCAATAGAAGGCAAATGTATGTGACATAATTCAATACCCTTTCATTATTAAAAACACCTCAACAGCACCATCTGTTGAAGAGGTTATCATTGACCAAAGATAGCTGGGTCTATTTCTGGGATCTCAATTCTGTTCCATTGGTTGATGTGCCTGTCATTGTAACAGTATCATGCTGTTTTGGTCATCACTGCTGTATAGTAGGTTTTAAGGTGAGCGAGTGCCATACTAATGTCATTTTTGTTTCTCAGAAGCGTTTTGCTTTTTTGGGGTCTCCTGACTCTCCAAATAAATTTGATAATTTTCCTTTCTCCTTGAAAACTGAATTTGGTATCTGGATTGGTATTGCATTGAACATGTAGATTGCTTTTGGTAGGATTGTCATTTTCACCATATTGAGTCTTCCTATCCATGAACAGGGCTCATTTTTTCATTTCTTTAGGTCTTTTACTGTGTTTTTCAGAAATGCTCTGTAGTTTTCTCTGAATAGGTCTTTTGTATCTCTAGTTACATTCACTTCCTAGTATCTCAATTTGTGGTTGGCTATTGTAAATAGTATTGCTGCGGAGGGTCAAGGACTGCAGCCTTCAGTATGGACTGAGGCTCAATGTCAAGAAGACAAAGATTCTCACCACTGGACCAAGTGGCAGCGTCAGGATGGATGGCAAAGAGATTGAGATTGTTCACAGCTTCAGTTTGCTCGGCTCCACAGTCAACACGCTTGGCACCAGCAGTCAGGAAATAAAAAAGCGTATCGCGATGGGAAAGTCTGCTGTTAGGGACCTCTCTAAAGTACTCAGGAGCAACGGTATCTCTCTGGAGACTAAGGTGCGCCTGATACAGGCCATGGTCTTTGCAATCGCTTGTTATGCATCAGAGAGTTGGACAATGACTAGGGAGGACGGAAGGAGAGTTGATGCTTGAGCTGTGGTGCTGGAGAAGAGTACTGAATGTACCATGGACTGCCAGGAAAACAAACAGATTCATCTTGGAGAGGATTAAACCAAGCTACTCCTTGGAGGCAAGGATTTTGGGGCTTCATCTGACATATTTTGGACATGTTGCCAGGAGGGATGGGTCCTTGGAGAGGGACATCATGCTTGGGAGGGTGGAGGGACAGCGCCGGAGGGGAAGACCTTCTGTGAGGTGGATTGATTCAGTGACTGGGGTAATCGGGATGGGTGTGTCAGAGGCAGTGCGGTTGGCGCAGGATAGAGCAGGGTTTAGGGCTATTGTGCATAGGGTCGCTATGAGTCGCAAATGACTTGCCGGCACATAACAACAACAACAACAACAAATGGTACTGCTTTCTTTATTTCCGCCTCTGAGTTCTCTTTGTTACTGTAGAGGAATCCTATTGATTTGTGGATATTGATCTTATATTCTGCCACTCTACTAAATTGGCCTATTAACTCTAACGGTTTTTTTGTTGAGTCATTGGGATTTTCTGTGTACACTATAATATCATCTGCATGAAGTGACAATTTAACCATTTCTTTGCCAATCTGAATACCTTTTATTTCCTTCTCTTGTTATATTGCCCAAGCAAGCACTTCCAATACAATATTGAAAAGAAGTCATGACAGTGGACATCCTTGTCTGGTCCCTGTTTGCAAGGGACATGTTTTTAGTCTCTCTCCACTGAGAATGATGTTAGCTCTTGGTTTTGCATATATACTTTTCACTATGTTGAGGAATTTCCTTTCTATTCCAATTTTGCTGAGTGTGCTGGCAAAACTGGACTTCCACCCGCAGAAAGCTGAAACATCTCACACCATACACAAAAATCAACTCAAGGTGGATCTGAGACCTGGGAGTAAAACCCAAAACCATAACGTTCTTAAGAGACAAAATGGTATCAAGCTTAGAAGTGCTAGTCCAAGGCATAAAGACACTGCCAAATACAACCAGAAATGCACAATCTAAAGAGGATAAAATTGATGCAAGGGACCTTCTGAAGATTAAATCTTTATGCACATCAAAAATGTTTTCCAACAGGGAGAAAAGAATACCTACAGACTGGGAACAAACATTTGGTAATTCCATCTCAGACAAGAGTCTTATAACAAAAGTTTATAGAATACTCCTAGGCCTCCGCAAGAAGATTGAAAACCCAGTTACAAAATGGGTGAAAGACATGGAAATAATTTTCACAGAGGAAGATATTAGAATGGCAAACAGACACATGAAGAAATGCTCCAAATCACTGGCAATAAGAGAGATGCAAATCAAAACTATAATGAGGTTACCATCTCACTCCAGTAAGAGTGGCAAAGTTACAGGAAAGCAATTAAGATGTTGGAGAGGATGTGGCAAGAAAGGAACTCTTATACATTGTTGGTGGGATTGTAAAATGGTTCGACCATTCTGGAAGGCAGTTTGGCGCTTCTTCAAAAAGCTGAACATAGAAATTCTATATGACCCAGCTATTCCACTACTTTGGAATATACCCTGAGAATGTGAGAATTGAGGCACAAACTGAGATTTGTACACCAATGTTCATAGCGACATTATTTACCATTGCAAGAACATGGCAACAGCCCAAATGTCCAACCACAAATGAAAGGATTGGGAAATTATGGTACGTTAACAAAATGGAGTACTATGTAGCACACAGGAACAATAACTTTGTAAATTATTACCTAACTTGGGATGGACCAGAGAGCATAATGCTGAGTGAACTAACTCAGTCACATAAGGATAAATATCATATAAAACCATTATTGTAGAATGAGCATAAAGATCCAGGAGGGGTGGGAGAGGCTGGAAGCAGAGGGATGTGGATGTGCAGGGGGAAGGGAAAATGAATCATTGGGTTGTACCATTTGATGGGAGGGGTGAGGGAAATTGAAAGAATTTGTTCAAATTTGTATTTGAATTTTGTAAATAAACTAGTAGAAAAATAAAATTTAAAAACCTCAACAAAATAGAAATATAACTTAAACCTTCAACTAACATGTAACAGCAAAAGTCCAAATGCTTTTCCCCCCCTAAAATAATAAAAAAAGATGTTAGCTTTCACTACTTATATTCAACATTGTCCTTGAAATCCTAGTCAGTGAAGTAAGACAAAAGCATAAAATTTTGAATCAAAGGCAAACCAGAACAAAATGGACCATCATTTCTACTTGCAAACAGTATAATCACATAAACAGAAAATCCAAAGGAATTGCTATTGAACGCTAAAATGTTACCAAGTGAATTAAGGCCTCAAGATACAAGATCAATACATTGCAAAAGTCAATTTTATAATTTTAATAGTAATTAAGAACAGGAAAGGAAAATTAAACAATGATACTAAAACACTTAGAAACAAGTTTAACAAGAAAGGTGCAAAGCCTGTCTACTAACAATAACCAAACATTATAAAAGGATATTAAAGAAAACCTAGATAAGAAAGAATCCAAAACTCTAGCAGGCTTTCTTCTTAAGGAAACTGGCAAACTGATCCTAAAATTAAAATGACAAAGTAAAGGAGCTGGTCAAATAACTGTGAAGAAAGGAATCATATTTGGAAGAGCTCCATTACTTGGTACCAAGATAATGTGATGCTGGTATAAAATGAAGAAACAGAGATCAATGGATAGAACTGTGAATCCATAAACACAGACTATCACGTAAAATTGGTTTGAGGTGAAGGTAGTGATGCTGAAGCTATGAGATGTCTGTAGAGGGAATGAATGTTGACTATGCTTGCGCTGTGCATTATGCTCAAACTCTCAAAATAGATTATAGACAGAGGAGATAAATTATACCTCATTAAACTGAGAAAAAATATATATGGAGATATATATATATATATATATAAATAAGTACTTACAGATCTCGCTTATTAAAGCAGAATAACACTCCTAAAAGAGTTGTCAATAGGAATGCTAAGCAAACAGGCACAACTATGGCTTCAATTTCTCCTTGAGCTGAAAAAAATAGTGGTGAGATTAGAAATAATTGTTAATACATATGCTAAAGACAGTTTAACTTCAGATAATAAAATTTAAGATTACTGTAAAATTTTTTTTTTAAAATTCAGCTAACAATAGAAAGGATGAAATACTTTATACTAAATTTTGTTTTCCCCCTCTCTTCTTGGTAAATCTCATCTCAGCCTTACATACTCCCTGGGAATGGTAGGTATAAAATGAAAGTAGGCTGGGAGAACAAAATTAGTTGCTTACTGAGGAGATTGCCTACTTGGTAATTTGGAGCTTTCAAACCTAATCTTGTAATACTGTTTGATTTACACTCAGTAGAATCTTAGCAAAAGCTTATCTCTGAGTTCTAACACTCACTAACTGGAGAACTCTATCAGAACAAATGAGTACAGGACAGACTCAGAAAATCCATAAAACAATCCTGCCCTGATTATTGCGAAAAAAGTACACAGTAAAATATACACCAATACAATCGCTTCTATGTACAGTTCATTGACACTGATCATATTCTTTGACCATTCTCACCCTCCTCATCCAAGAAGTTACTCCTCCATGAATGTAAACTCACTACTCCTCACCTCTACCCCCAAAACAAAACTTCTTTTCTAGTTAAGTGAAAAGACTTCAGAGAGAGTTCTGGCTCAAGGTTTATAGATTAGTTCAGGGGTACAGTTTCAGAGATCAACATCACCTCCATGTCTCCAGTTAATTTGGAGTCCATGAGCATTTGGAATGCTATCTTGTATTTATCTTTCTTGATCGGGGTTTTTCTATAGACACTCTAGTCAAAATGTTCAGTAATGAAAAAGGAGACATGTAAACAGCAAACATTTTATCTTCTCCTCTTAGTCTTGACTCTCCTTGCTCTATTGTCCCAAGTAAAGGGTCTGGTTATTATTATTTATTTTTTTAAAAAAGGAAAGGTAGAAATGAAAAAATTCCAACAAATTTCATTATTCCTTACCAAACTTTGGAGTAGTGAAAGTGAAATCAGGACCACTCTTCCCACCTTCATCTGTGTATGCTGCCATTCGTACCATGTACAACGTGTCACTAGTCAAAGAAGACAGCGTATATTCTGTGTGGGAGGAATCTACGTGCACAGCTGGAAGAAATCAGAAAAGTGAGCTTTTTCAACCATTGCATGTTTAGCTTCATCCAGACCACATGCCACATTATAAAAGTATTAAAAGTAATTTATAAAAAATTGACTTTCAAAATGAACTTTGTAAGTGAATTGGTATAAAAAATTTTTTATTTAAACAAAAAACCCCAACTTTCACAACTATATAATAAAGTTTCTTACAGGCACAAAATAGTTTTTCCCTAATAGAACCATGAAAACTATCCTAAGCCATAAACACTGAGGATTGTTGTTGTTGTTATGTGCCATCAAGTCGCTTGCTTCTCATAGCGACCCTATGTACAACAGCCCTAAACTCTGCTCTGTCCTGTGCCAATCGCACTGTCTCTGACACTCCCATCCCAATCGCCCAGTCACTGAATCAATCCACCTCATAGAGGGCCTTCCTCTCCTGCGCCGTCCCTCCACCCTCCCAAGCATGATGTCCCTCTCCAAGGACCGGTCTCTCCTCACAACATGTCCAAAGTAAGTTAGACGGAGCCTCAGAATCCTTGCCTCCAAGGAGCCACCCGGTTTAACTCTTTCCAGGACGAATCTGTTTGTTTTCCTAGCCGTCCATGGTATTCTCAATACTCTTCTCCAGCACCACGGCTCAAAGGCATCAATTCTCCTTCTATCCTCCTTGGTCATTGTCCAACTCTCTGAGCATAACAAGTGATTGTGAAGACCATGGCCTGTATCAAACACACCTTAGTCTCCAGAGAGACACCATTGCTCTTCAGTACTTTGGAGAGGTCCCTAACAGCAAACTTTCCCATGGCAATGCGCCTTTTAATTTTCTGGCTACTGAGGATAACATACAATATTATTATGAAGAAAAGACTTAAGGTGTCAAGGATTTAATTTTACTTAAATTCACAATCAGCATCCATGGTAGCAGCAGTCAAGAAATCAAAAGACGTACTGCAACAGGCAAACCTGCTGTCAAGGATGCTAAAACCAAGGATGTCAGTTTAAAGACTAGAGTGTGCCTGGCCCAAGTCATGGTATTTTTAAGTTGCTTAACACACATGTGAAGGTTGGCCATTGAGTAGGAAGACAAAGAATTGATGACTTTTAATTGTCATGTTGGCAAAGAGTACTGAATATACCATAGACTGCCAAAATAATAAATAGTCTGTCTTGGAGAAACTGTGATCAGAGTGTTCACGAGAGGCAAGGATGGTGAAGCTTCATCTCATGTACTTCCTATGAATTGTCAGAAGGCGCCAGTCCTTGGAAAAAGACATCATGCCTGGGAAAGTAGAGGGCCAATGAAAGAGAGGCAGGCCCTCAACGGAATGGAATGACACAGGGGCTGGAGCATGGTGGTGATTATGAGGATGGTGCAGGACAGAACAAGGTTTTGATCTGCTGTTCATGGGGTTGCTATGAGTCATAATTGACTTGATAGCACCTAACTATAACAAGAAACATAACAAAAAAAATTCAAACAATAAAATTAATATTGTAATGTTGGAAAAAATTGGACTGCTAGTAAATGATATGATTATTACCAGTTTCATTCCCAAGGGCAGTTTTATAAAATATAGTATAATTTCTGATAAATCCATTTTGAACATCAACTGGAAGATGGTCCCATTCTAAGACAGCTTCATTTTTCCCCACTTTTTTTGTTCGAACAGTAGGTCCTGTGGAAGGTGCTGCAAGAGAATAAGTTTGCTAACTGAAAAATCACTAGAATTTAGGAAATCATTAAAATTGAGTAAAATTTTTTTCATCACAAAATTATTGAATGTAATGAGACACATCTTTATGTAAAATTGATAAAATACATTTGGAAAGACAAAACTAAAATTTTTCAAAGACCGTAAGTTTGGACTTACCAGCTTGTTTAAGGTATGCCTTGACAGACTGCAGGCTTCCTGGTCCATCAGAATATATGGGAGTAACTGTTATCAAATAACATTTGCTCTCCTTTAGGTTTCCTAAAGTGAGAATAGTATGCTAAGCATTTTTTCTAAAATGATAAAGTCATATCCATACCACTATTGATTTTTTAAAGTACTTTTTGACTATTGATTTTTATATTACAGTTTTGTGACCACTTTTTCTTCTAAATCTGCAGCTTTCTAAGTAAGCATTTCCTTTACGTCTGGGTTCAAACTCAAAAGAGTCGAACTGTTTAGAAAATGGACAGGCTACTTTTACTGCCAATATAGTGCATTATGAACAATAATAAAAGGAACAACTATTTAAGTACTGTTAAATAATGATTGACAACTAACAATCTAGAATAAGATCTGCAAAGGTATCATTTATAATGTGAGCAAAAGTTCACTACCAAGAAGAAAGAGGAAAAACCCCAAAATGGGTATCAGAAGAGACTGTGAAAATTGCATTAAATGATCAAGAAGCCAAAACAAGAGAGATTTTTAAGTTGAACAGATGATTTTGAAGGGCAGATTGAAAACAAAGCAAAATATTATAATAAAATGTACAAAAAGCTGGAGTCAGAGAATAAAAAAGGGAGAACTTGTTCGACATTTCTCAAGCTAAAGGAACTGAAAAAAAAATTCAAGATGAAGAGAATACATAGCATTACTAAATCAAGAATTAGTTGACACTGAAAAATTTCACAAAGAACAACAGCCAGTGGTGATGAAAGACGAAGTTCAAGCTGCACTGAAGGTATGGGCTAAAATAAAAGTGTGGTTCCAAGAATTTATGGGAAACCAAATGACTTGTTTCAACTAATACATGCAGCCCTGGATGTGCTCATTAGTTTATGCAAGGAAACTTGGAAGACAGCTACCTGGATGACTGATTAAAAGAGATCCATAGTTGTTCCCATTCCCAAGAAAGGTAACCAACAGAATGTGGAAATCATAAAACAATATTATTAATATATCACGAAAGCAAAATATTGCTGAAGAGCATTTTAAAATGGTTAGACAATACACTGACAGGAAACTACCAGAAGTTTCAGCTAGTTTGAGAAGAGGCTGAGGGATCAGGGATATTATTGTTGATGTTAGATGGATCCTGGGTGAAAGCAGAGGATACCAGAAGAATGTCTATTCGTGTTTTATTGACCATGTAAAGGCATCTGACTGTGTGGATCATAACAAATCATGGCTCACACTGAGAAGAAAGGGAATCCCAGAACACTTAATTATGCTAATATAAAAACCTATATACCTTCTTCAAGGATATGAACATGTACGGCTAAGCACAACTGATAACAGTGCATCTAAATTCCAAAATCAATCTCCATAATAGTCTATGTGTTTCCTACTGCCAAAGGGGCCTTTTAGAGTAGTGAGAGAAGACCTTCACCCTGAAACGCACAGCGTCCCTTTTCAGAAAGAAGTAGCTAAGAGAATACGCCATCCCCTTTTCCTTATGAATCAGGGTGAAGTCTCTCTCAGGGAGGAGTGATAGGGAATGGCAAGGGACACACTGACAAAGGAGATTAATCAGAACTGGCTTTGACAAGCACTGTGGCAATTGGACAATTAAAACAGACATGTGGAAGGGGGAAGAAGAATGAACTGGGGAGGAGGGTGGAGAAAACAGTGCAACAATGAATAAATGAAAACCCAAAATCTCTGTAAATGTTCATTAAAACTAATAAAATTTAATAATAATAAACCCCCCCCAAAAAAAAACACCTATATACCTAGACAAAGATGTTATTGTTTCAGTGGAGCAAGGGAACACTGCATCGTTTAAAATGAGGAAGGTTGTGCATCAAGGTTGTATCCTTTCTCCATACCTACTGAATCTGTATGCTGAGCAAATAACTTGAGAAGCTCAACTCTATAATAAATAATGTGTCATTAGGATTAGAGGAAGACTCATCAACAACCTGTGTTATGCAGATGATACAACCCTGCATGCTGAAAGTAAAGAGGATATGAAATGCTTGCTATATAACATCAAGGCCTACTTGCCTTTGGTATGGATTAAATTTTAACATCAAGAAAACAAAGGTCCTCACTATAAAACCAAGAGTCAACATTAAGATAGATGGAGAAAGGATTGAAGTTGTTAAAGATTTTATCTTGCTTGGATCAACAATCGACACCCTTGGTACCAGTAGTCACGAAATGAGTATATGTATTGCACTGAGCAAGTGTGCTGTCAGGAACCTCTCAAAAATGCTGAAGGAGCAATGATATATCTGTTTGAAGACTAAGGTGCAGCTGATTCAGACAATAATAGCTCTCTGATAAGCGTGAGAGAGCTGGACAATGAATAAGAATGAGAAAAGAATTGGTGCCTTTGAACTGTGGTGTTGGAGAAGAGTACTGAATTTCCCACAGTCTGCCAAAAGAACAGATAAGTCTTAGAGAAGTTGCAGCCAAAGTACTCCTTGGAGGCAAGAATGGAGAAGCTTTTTCTTTCATACGCTGGACATGTACCTAGGCAAGGCTATTCCTTGGAAAAGGACATCATACTTGGGAACATGGAAGTAGAGGAAGGCCCCTACCGAGATGGATTCACATGGTGATGTCAGCAATGGGCTCTATCCAGTGTGTAAGAGATGATAAAGATGGCACGTGAAAAGGCAGGGTTCAGATCAGCTGTTCATAAGGTCCCTATGATTTATGCATGTTTTGATTGCTCTTAACAATAACTAGAAGTGAGATATAGGAAAATTACTAATGGTCCTGATTTATAGATGGTCAGGAATCCAAAGAAAGACTGAGTCACTGCCATTTCTCCCTAAAAAGGGTGGAAACTCTGGAAAGCTACCACTTATCTACTGGTTTATCCCAGGGTGACGGTGTATCTGTTGTGATGTGGGAAGCTATGCCACTGCAGGGAAGCCTGTGAAAGATACACTGTATCTTCCTAACACATGTTGTTAGGACTGTATCTTCCTAAGACGTGTTGTTAGGACAGGCTATTCTTTGGAAAGAAGTATCATGCTTGAAAAGATGAAGGATCTGCCATGGTGGTTAAGACAGCATGGTACTGGTACAATGAGAGACAGACACATAGATCAATGGAATAAAACTGAGAACCCGGAGATAGAAACATTTATCTATGGTCAACTGATTTTTGACAAGGAGATGAAATCAGTTAAGTGGGGAAACGGCAGCCTTTTTAACAAATGGTGTTGGCAAAATTGGAAAAGTATCTGAAATAGACTCAAGCAAGATCCACACCTCACTCCATATACAAAAACCAACTCAAGGTGGATCATGGACCTAGGACTAAAACCAAGGACTATAAGCTTCATTAAAGGAAAGCTTGGAAGAACGCTATAAGTCCTAATTCACAACATAAACAGTCTTCCAAGTATCCTGAAAAACCTACAACCAGAAGATAAAATAGATGAATGGGATCTTCTAAGAATCAAATCCTTATGCACATCCAAAAACTTCTCCAACAGGGTAAAAAGGGAAGCCACAGTCTGGGAAAAAGTATTTGGTAATGACATATCAGATGAGGGACTTATATCCAGAATTTATAAAATACTTGAGCACCACAACAAGGTAAAGGCAAATAATCCAATAGAAAAATGGGCACAGAATATGAACAGACACTTCACCGAAGAAGACATTCAGAAGGCTAACAAGCACATGAAAAAAAATGTTCAAAATCCCTAAGATTTACAAGATCCCTAAGAGAGATGCAAATCAAAACAACTATGAGATATCATCTCACCCCACTCAGAATAGCAAAATTTAACAGAACAGCAAGCAACAAATGCTGGCGAGGTTGTGGAGAAACTGGAGCCCCTATTCACTGTTGGTGGGAATGTAAAATG